AATTTCTGTCATCTTCGTGTTTTTATAATCATGAGTGTTTAGTGAGTATGCTTTTTGAACTGGTGTTTCGATCCTAACTGCCAATTGTTTAATTGTTTCATTTGGTAGTCTACGAATTTCATTACATAAAATTCTTTCATGTTGTTTTATTTTTTTCAGAATCAAATTTTTTGAAAATTCTTGTGTAAATCTTTTCCAATCTGTTTTTACGTCTATTGGTAAAACTTAAAACCATTTCTGAGCTGCGCCATCAAGTGTTGTTTGGATTAACGCTGTCTGTCTATGTATCCAATTTTGACGGAGTGGTGTATTAATTGGTTCAGGTCCGATATTTAAAATTAAATCTGCTGTGATTGCGTTTAAATAGTCTTCTACAGAATATTCAGGGTCTCTGCCTGTGAATACCATCAAGGGTTTGGTTGATGTTATTGATGATCCACCCATGAGGTATGGATTCATAGTCATCTGTAGTGATTCTGCGGCATTTGGCATTTGTGAAAATTTCGTCAGTTGATTTTTTGTTATTTCATGTTGTTGCAAATAATATGGTAGTGGTATTTCTTTTTGCATTTGTGTTGGTTGAGTAAAAATTATTATTTTGAGATGCGTGATTTGGTCTAGGTTGTCGCATATGTTGTTCTCGTGTATATGGTTCAAAAATATCTGGTTGATTTACGTGATAAGAGTGGAGTCTTTGGTTTTGAAAATTTTGTTGATGGTTTTGGTCATCAAAATCGTCATCATCTGATGATAGACAATTAGGCGTATAGTTAAGTGTTTTTTTGTTTATTTTGGTATGGCTGTTTACTATTTTTATTCTGTTGAAAAAATGGAAAGTTTTCACTTGGGTCTGTTGGATTTCGTGGGTTATCATTAAAATTTACGAAATTTGATGTTTGTTGTTGAAAATTTTGTCGTTGTGAAAATGAACGATTATGCGAGTTTGTACGAGGAGGTTTAGATGTTTGTGATCTATTTACGTAGTTATAATTGTGTTCTGCAAAATTACTTCTGGTGAATATTCTTTGTTTTTGTGGTGGTTTCGTCATTGGTCTAAATGTTTGGTAATTCATATGTGAATATTTTGGAACAACCGAGGGTTTAACCGTAGATTGCATTGTTACTTGAGGTAATATTGAAGTCTTTGGTTTTGGTGTTGTAAGGTTTAGATGTATTGGTGAAATACTTTGCTGTGTAGTTGATACAATTGTTTCAACAATTTCTTCATTTATTAAATGTGATGGTGTTTGAATATCTTGTTGTAAGTGGAAATACCTTTACATAGTCTTTGTGAATAGAAATTGTACTGATTGCTTGACTTGAGATGTCTATCGGTATGTTCAGAAATAATGGATGAGACCATTCAGGGTCCAAAACATAGTCTGATTGTTGTGTAATGACAGTGTCATCATTGGTACTTTGAGGTCTGAAATTTTTTCTTGCTTGTGCAATTAAGTCAATATTATGTGCAAAATAATCAATTACGAACCATGCTAAGATTTATTGTAAATCATGTTTGACATTTGGTGAAATTCCATTGTTCGAAAAAATTTCACGAATTGTGTTTAAAAATGCTTAGAATGCGGTAATTTCATTTCTGACATTTGTGTGTCTTGATATATGAACCGGTGATGTGCTTTCAATTCCTTTTTTTCTAGTATAGACACATAACTATATATTAGTGAAAAAACATCGTTGGTGAATATTGAGTTTGCTCTTTGTGAACTTTGGTGTTGTATATTTTTAAAGTATTCTGTGAATACTTTTGAAAATTCTATGTCGACATCGTCTGTTTGAATAACATGTTTGCTATGATATCTACTTTCTGTGCTGAGTTCTATGATGTAGATTCCATATGGTTGTGCTAGATTACATATTCCTTTTAAATAATGATCAATAATTTGTCTTTTGATTTTTAGTTCTGGGAATTCTGCTTTACATGGGCTGATTCCTTGTTCGAATACATTTGCAATCAAATTAGTACAAAATTGTTTTTGTCCTCTATCTTCAGTGAGTGAATTTATAATAAAAGGGAAAACAGAGTTTTCGTCTGGACTGTCATCACTTGGACTTTGGCTCATTTTTTCGTTTTATGACTGTTAGTGCGTAATGTTCAATGTGCCTGATTGGTTGGTTCCAACTGTATAAACGTACTGGTTTATTTTTATATATCTTTTTTTTCTTCTTTTCCCTTGTTTTGATGAATGTGATGTAGCTTCTCAGTCTGAAAAGTATAATTGATCGTGAACTGGGTAGTTTTTATTTAATTTGTCTTTGAGTTTGCAAAGTGCATCTAAATTGCTGTTTTCTGATTTGGAGAGTGCGTTTCTACGCTTTGAAAATCTTTTTTGTGCGATTTGTCTTTGTTTACTTGAAGTTTTTCTTTTTATTGTTTGATGTCTTGTGCGAATATATCCAATTGTTTGTTTTGCGGTGTAATTACAAGATCGTATGATTCGTTATTTATTTCACAATTGGGTAGCACGATTGTTTGTTTATTTCCTAAATTGTTCAGTAATATAAGGCTTAGGATGAAGGGTGCAAGGTTGTTATTAGTGATTTTATTATCCTAGATTGTTAGTCCTTACGATTTTTTGGTTAGCCTAACTTGGGTCTTTTATGTAGGGTTGGAGAGAAAAGTATATATCGATTCCGAAGAATGATTGTTACTTTCTCGTGGCTATTCTAAGTTAAAGTGTTAACTTACTTATCTTACTTAGGGGTAGTGATTGTGTTCAAGGGTTGGAGAATAGTAAATCAATCCACAGGGTTCAGGTATATTTAGGACACAGATAGTTCGTTAGGTACTATTTTAATACTTACTAAGATTTAAAAGTTAGCCTGGGTCAGTTAAGAGGGGGGATTAAGTGAAGGATGAATAAGCGAAGCTCTTCACTGTTTAGCTTAAATTGAATTGTTAGCGTGATTGAAAACTTTCTATTAGTCCTGGGTCTTAGAAAGGGTTGGGTAGTGAATTGATGTTTAAGGTCGTTAGACACTTATTTATTGGGTGGGGGAGAACAAAATTGTTCTAATTCATCCAAGGATAGGCCTTGATGATCAGGATATAATTTTTTATTGTTTAACATGGATTTAATTTAATTATTTAATGGAGATCAAAGGAAAGCCATGATGATCTAATTTATGATTGAACAAGTTAAAAGGAGATAGAGGTAAAAATTGGGATAAGCCTATAAATTTATCTGATAGAATAAATTAGTGTTTGATGATATTAGTGGTTTAGTGATTGCTGTTATGTTTAGGTGATGAAGCTGGGGATGCCAGGATGATTTATATATACTAATAATATATGGTCATGTCAACTAATTTTTATTTTTTATTTTCAATAAATATATTTTTCAGATATCCTTTTTTAAATTTTACTGCAGATTTAAAGGAAACGATTTGAGGTGTTTTTATAAATCTTTATTATACAATAGTAAATGGGATTTAGCGCCTGTAATAATTATTGAAGCTTTTTCTTCAAGGTTTCTATGTTTGCAAATGAAAATCCAAATTCCTTGCTAGTAAAATTCTTAATATAAAAGTTTGGTCTGGCTTTTGCCGTACGACCATGAAACTTAATGGTAAGTTTCTTCGTAGTCGTAGATCGTCTCTTGTCCGAGGCCTTCTTCCAATGCCTGGTAGTTCTAGTATTGTGCGGAATAGCGGTTCTGATCTATTGAGTCGTAGAGACATTTCAATTAGATTATTATCATGTAACTTTTTTGAAAATTGTTTTTGTCTAATTCTAATATATCTGTTAGTTCTAAGCTAATTTGTTTTTTAAGGTCTTGATCGAGACTTATTGTCGCATCAGATGAGTTAGGTTCGAGGTGTAACTCATAGAGTAATTTCGGATAGGGTACACCCTCTGCTCGTCAAGCTATCTTATTTTCGGCCGGATAGATTCGTGCAACTTCTTAGTCTAATACCGATCCTAATCTTACTCTTATAACTACTAGTCTCAGGGTGTCTAACTAGTCTCTGCTATGCTCAATAGATCTAGAGTATACTGTCTTATTGCGAGTGCTGAAGTTCTCTTGGAGAAGTAACTAATTTCTAATTTAAATTCAAATCTCTCTGGTGCTGAAATTACAAGTAATTTCAGCACTTACAAATAAGTGGGTTGTTAGTTAGATGGAGATAAAATATCCAATTTATAACCAATAAAAAATATAGTTTATATCTGGTTCCAAGTCTCATGTAGAGCGGTAGGAAAAATACTTTTTTCAAGTCAGTTTAAAAGCATGTCAAAATTATTGATCATTAAAACCAACTTTTATACAGATGAAGCATTGTTAAAAAGACGTGGATATAAAATTATACAGGTAAAGCATGTTTACTGGTCACGGACAATAGAATTGTTTCTCATAAAACGAGTACTATTAATGGTGACCAATCTAATGAAAGTTGTTATCACTTAGCGCTAGGCTCATCCAGACACTTCAACCGAGTCACTAAACGTCTTTAGAAAAAATGTATTGTTTCTACCCTTCCCCTACCCTCCCCTCCCCTCCCGTACCCTCCCCTCCCCTCCCCTCCCCTCCCCTCCCCTCCCCTCCCGTACCCTCCCCTCCCCCCCCCCCCTCCCCTCCCGTACCCTCCCCTCCCCTCCCCTCCCCTCCCTCTCCTACACACACAAACACGCACAAGATTACGCACACACACAAATTTACAGTTTTTTTCACAGTTTTATTAAATGCGCTGAGTAACCCAGTTTTCAATCGAATGATCAATACATGAACTCTGAATGACGACAAAACAGAGGGAAAACAGCAGATGCAGGAGCATGCTTGTCTGGTTGACGGGCAGAACTTTCATCTATTAGCTGTGAAAGAAACCGACACAAATACCACTCCTAATGATTTTTTCTCGAACACTGCAGAAAAGTCGCCTGCTTTTTCTTTAAAATTTGCAGTACAATTATTCTCCAGAACATGACTTAAACTCTTAGGGCATTTTGTCATTCTAAAGACTGGTAACGTGAACTAACTAACCCCTTGGTAATACCGAGTGCAGTCCGCGTGATTATACTCTGAGGACCAGTCATGTTTGTCAGCCAACAAATCTGGAATACTGCTACTGCTGGCCATAGTTGCGAACCTCAGCAAAATCCTTTTTACCAAAGTAACTTGAATTATCAATTCAATATCTTCTCAGTGACGAAAGTTTGGTCCACGTCAAAACTTAAGTGAACTTTTGTGTAGGTTGAAAATTAGAAATGAAAAGTGAGATAATAAAGATAATAAATCACACAAACGTCCAAAGATGGGCATATTTGCGAAGCTGAGCAAAGTCCAATTTATTATAACTACAAGAGGTATCAGTTCAATGCCTTCTCAATGACAAAAGCTTGATGCACAACAAATCTTGCTTGAAGTTTTGTGTAGATTGAAAAATAGAAATGAAAAGTGAGATAATAAAGATAATAAATCACACAAACGTCCAAAGATGGGCATATTTGCGAAGCTGAGCAAAGTCCAATTTATTATAACTACAAGAGGTATCAGTTCAATGCCTTCTCAAAATAATAATACTGCTCACATCAGGGCAAAGCCCTGAATGTTCAGACTGCCTTCTAAGGTCTATGGAGTAGTAATAAAATTTAAAAATAATTGTAAAAAAAAGAACTTTTTTAATTTTGAGGTTTTTGAAAATCATATCCCCACACACCATGTAAGTTTAAAATGATAGATATCGCTCCTTGTAACAAATCAACTAGGGCAAGTAGTCTGCTGCAACTAATTTGGAACAAATTCTGGGACGGATAACTCGTCATAACCCCCATAACAATTGAAATATCTTTTCAAATTTAATCTCAGGACAACAATACCTTTTGAATGATATAAAAACACTTCGTCAAAAATAGTTAGTTGAGAATTCGAAGTTTGTTTGTCAGAAGAAAAAAAACTATCCCGAGCAAAAATATTCCGTAACTTCTGTTACGAAAGTCGGAGCAATAAACTACACATAAAGCTGAGCATAGTTGCGAAGCTGAGCAAAATCCAATGTACGAATTTACTTGATTTATCAGTTCAATACCTTTTTATTAACGAAAGTGCATGAACTTGCGTGAAGTTTTGTGAAGATTGAATACTAGAATAGAAAACATGAGATAAAAAAGATAGCCGGTTACTGTGTAAGTAGCACAGAATATTCCGACCATAGTTTAAAAAAACAAAATTTTATCAAATTAATTTTTTTCCTTTGTGGCGTGATAAAAAAACCTGAACAAAAAAAGTTAGGTATATAGTAAAACCGTTTTTGTATAAAAATGATTAGAAACACAAAAATGTCATTAAAAAAGTTCAAAAAAAATTGAACGAAAAAACAGAGCTTAGGTATATTCGACAGCCATAGTAAAATAGGCCAATTGTAAAACTGTTTGTGTACAAAAAAGAATAGAAACACGAAAACAATCGTGAGATAAGTTTCAAGAGAAACTGAACAAAAAAATTAAACTTGGGTTTATTCAGCAGGAATAAAAAGGCCAATTATAAAGCAATTTTTGTAGAAAAAAACTTGAAAAACAAAAAAAAATCGTAAAAAGTTTTCATAATTTTTCCAAAATTTTTGAAGAAATTTTTTTGAAATTTTGAAGTTCTGGATTCCCGAAAGGTGCTAAAAAACTCTCAAAACTAACTTTGCTCGAGTAAACTAAAATTTCTGATTAAATTGGGCATAATTAAACTCTTGTAAGCCTAGAATCTCACCTGATTAGCTCGAACTTAAAATCAGGTGAGAATAAAAATTGAAATTTCATACCGGTTTTGCTCGAAATCGAGAATATTTTTTAGAATTTTTATAACGTCGTTTGCAATACAACTGAAAAATTTTGAATATAAGAAATCACTCAATCCAGTCCGATAATTATTTTTGGTCATTAGTTTTTACTGAGTGGACAGTACTGGTTTAATTTTGATTGGTTAATTAGCCTAATTTTATCAGTCTTACCTTAATCGTCAAATTTTATGACAAAAATTGTTTAGAAACAAGCTGTAGAAAAAAAACAGAAAACTTTAATGTTGATTACTAGAACCCATAGGTTTTTTTCAAATAAATGAACCGAACATCTTAGAGGAAATTAATTAGTGTTCCAACCAATCTTACGTTAAGGGGGGTTTCCAACCAACCTTACGTTACATTTATATGTATTCTTCTTCCTACGATGGAGCTGGATAACTCGAGTGAAATCTTCAAATCTTTGGAGTTGAGTCAATTTTTCTTCTACTGGTGAGTTTGGAAGGCTTCTTCACTTTACCGGGCAGTGGTGAGTTGTTGAGGTGAGGTGAAAGTCAGTCTCCAATTTGTCGAGGTTGTGTCTTTGTTTCTCAATTTTTAATTTTATATCGAGTTTAAAGATAAAACTCACATTTATAATTTAGTAAAAAGCGGTTTCTCTAATTAAAACAAAAAGGAAGGTTAGACTTTTTTTAATGAGAAGCTAAATTTCAAGAATTTTTGTTACTTGCTGCTGTCAGTGCAAAATGAAACATTGAAGATATTGTAACAGTCCCTTTGCTCGTTGGCATAAAATGGCAGCTGATATATCTATCAAAGAAATCAAGCTTCACCTGCTCTTTTTTTCTCCCTTCATCATCAGGGAATTTTCAACTAGATTTTAATTGAGTTTTCAAATCAAATATCCCTTATTCTTTATTCCTTTTTGACTGAAACTGCAGCCTTCAATTTTTTCTCCTTAAATTTGTACAGTCTTTTATCTGGTTCTGTTGCACAATAGTCCAAGTTCAGTTGCTGATTTAATCGCTTTTTAATCAAAGCAAAGAGAAACCTTGGGCAGCCAGTAAAGCTATTAAAATTTAATCTTTTGCGTTTTCTTTTATAATTAAAAAAGACGTATTAGTATCACCGCTCTTTTAAAACACTGAGCGAAAATTTCAAAAAAACTCGTCAGTTTTCAAAACAAGAAACTATAGCCTTCATACGAGTAAATCAGTTAACTTGTCATTTAGAGAATAAAGGGTTTGATTTATAGGGCACACTTTCAAAAGGGCAGAGTTTCGAAAAAATGTCAAAAAGATGTCGATTTTTTTTCTGGGTTGACCAAATTGATTTTTTGAGTTGAGCTCCCCAAATTACTAGCAAGACCCTATTTTGACCTCATTTGCTACGCCTCAGTCAAAAAGGCAGCTTCAGCCACCTTCGAACTTAAAAAATTGCGTTTTTTCGGGGCGCGCTCCCCCTCAAAGTAAGTATCTGTTGGCGCCTATGGCGCCTTCAGAAACACTTTAGGGTCAGTAATCAAAAATGGATATCTCAAAATAGTACAAAGGGATCGGCACAGGGCCGAATCCCTGAGGAGAGGGGGCGTCCGACCCACTCCATCCTCTAAGTCTCCCCCTGCTACAAATGTTCACAAAATGATGTTGAGGTGAGATGAAAGTCAGTCTCCGATTTATCGAGGTTGTGTCTTTGTTTCTCAATTTTAAATTTTAAATCGAGTTTAAAGATAAAACTCACATTTATATTTTACTAAAAAGCTGTTTCTCTAATTAAAACAAAAAGGAAGATTAGACTTTTATTAATGAAAAACTAAATTTCAAGAATTTTTGTTACTTGCTGCCGTCAGTGCAAAATGAAACATTGAAGATATTGGAAGAGTCCCTTTGCTCGTTGGCATAAAATGGCAGCTGATATATCTATCAAAGAAATCAAGCTTCACCTGCTCTTTTTTTCTCCCCTCATCATCAGGGAATTTTCAACTAGATTTTAATTGAGTTTTCAGATCAAATATCCCTTGTTCTTTATTCCTTTTTGACTGAAACTGCAGCCTTCAATTTTTTCTCCTTGGATTTGTTAAGTCTTTTATCTGGTTCTGTTGCACAATAGTCCAAGTTCAGTTGCTGATTTAATAGTTTTTTAATCAAAGCAAAGACAAACCTTGGGCAGCCAGTAAAGCTATTAAAAATTAATCTTTTGCGTTTTCTTTTATAATTAAAAAAGACGTATTAGTATCAACGCTCTTTTAAAACACTGAGCGAAAATTTTAAAAAAAAACTCGTCAGTTTTCAAAACAAGAAACAATAGTCCTAATACGAGTAAATCAGTCAACTTGTGATTTAGAGAATAAAGGGTTTGATTTTAAGGGCACACTTTCAAAAGAGAGCAGAGTTTCAAAAAAATGTCAAAAAGATGTCAATTTTTTTTTTGGGTTGATCAAATTAATTTTCTGAGCTCCCCAATTTACTAGAAAGACCCCATTTTGACCAAATTTGCTTCGCCGCCGTCAAAAAGGCAGCTTCAGCCACTTTCGAACTTAAAAATTGCGTTTTTTCGTGGCTCGCTCCCCCTCAAAGTTAGTATCTGTTGGCGCCAAAGGCGCCAAAGGCGCCTTCAGAAAAACTTTAGGGTCAGTAGTCAAAAATGGATATCTCAAAATAGTACAAAGGGATCGTATCGGCAGGGGGTCGAATCCCTGAGGAGAGGTGGGGTCCGACCCACTCGATCCTCTAAGTCTCCCCCTATTACAAAAGTTCACTAAATGGTTTTTGTCTTCAAATATGTCTCTTTTTGAAACGTTTCTCTCTTCTAATTCTTGCGATAAACATTACAAAATATTTAATTCAAAGTATTTGTCACCAACTACAACTGCGTTCAAAGATCTTTTAAATAAACTATGTCACTCAATTTGTTTGATTGCAAAACTGTTTACAGGAAAAATGGAAAAAACGACAGCAGTATAGGTAGCGACTGGATGATTTAACAATTTATTTTAATTTAAATTTAATGAGACTTATTAATCGATGTTTCTATTGAATTCCTTTCAATTTTGTCCTTTTACCTGGTAATCGTTCTAAAATAATTTACTACGTAGCTTCCTTCTTAGAATCATCACTAAGTTTAAGCTCAGCAAACAAATTAATCTGGGAACTACATCAATGGAATTTTTAGCTTCAGTATGAATACTCACTACCTCAAAAATGATAGAAAAAATCTTGAGCGTCAAGTGTTCGTAGATTGGAAACCCCTTGTACCTTTACTGAATTAATCATCAAAATGTTAAAATGCCTCTGAAAATAAAGCATTAGTGCCTTGAGGTTTATAAGTAAGTGACACAGCTACTACTGGGTACCAAAAATGTCATGCAAAACAGTCGATTCAAATCTGCTTAGAGATTGTTTGTCTGATGCGAAATACAAATAAGCGGATTTAAAACTACCGTAAGACCCAATTTCATACCAATTTTAGAATTGTTCTAGAAGAGACTTGTCAT